CACGAGAACGATCCCCCCCCCCCCCCCCCGCCGTGCCATCTCTCCTGGCAGGGGGCGGGCAGGGAGGACCCGTGATTCACAAACACCGTCTGTGCCTCAGGAAACAAAGCCCCATAGTTCCGTCTGCCGACTCGGCTCAGCAGACCCCCCCGTCGGGCAGGGCCCCCTCTCCTCCATCCTCCATCCATCAACGCCCCTACGACATGGCATCCGTCCACGGACGGACGACTCCCTTGTTTTGATTGCCTCTTTGATTGCCCATCCATGACCCTGTAACAGCGTCCTGTCGCCCACAAGAAAAGGCAGCTGTTTCTGATGGGGGCCCAATGCATTGTCTGTCGTCCGCCCGGGCTCGAGAGCCCAGCCTCGAGGCACAAGCTACTCAGTGGACCACGTGTGTGCCTTGTGTGTTGTGTGTGTGTGTGCCTTGTGTGTATGTATGTGTGTGAACTAGTCACACGGGAAGCGCGACGCCCTTCCCCCCACCCTCGTCGTCACCCCATTCATGTCCGGCTTTCTTCGTTTCCCCTCTCCCCCATCTCGGGCACCATGGTCGAGCCACAATCTTCATGGCGGCCGCCGTTCAGGCTGTCTCCAAGAGCCAAGTGCCGGAACAAGGGGCTCCAAAGAGGAGAGGATCGGCGTTGCTCCCTTCTGGAGAGGTGACCAAGGTGGGAAACTAAACAAGAAGACGGCAGGCGGCGCACACCAAAGGAATATGAGAAGTGACCTGGCAGCAAGGCGGCTTCTTGGGGCGACGCCAAAAAGAGGAGAAGCCGAACCCGCGAAACGGGCGAAAACGGCCAACGGCGCCCCGAGGACGCCGTCATGGGAGGCTTGAACTGGGACCATATTCAGCCAGTGGAGCGCCACGGGGCGCCCAAGGAGACCTCCATGAGAGAAAATGGAATGGCTGATCAAGCCCAAAGGAGAAAAATTGGAGGCGGCGTTACGCCGGCTTGACCGCTAGTGAAGGACACTAGCGAGCTTGTGCGCGTCGCGCGACCGAACCAGAGGCCTTCCGGACGGCCACCCGTTCCGCCATTGTGGAGCCCATCGATGCGTCGCCATCTCGGCCATGATGAATGCAGTTTGTATGACCTGGATAGGTTGGTCTGCTGCTGCCACATACTCGTCTCTTGGCCCTCAGCCCCCCCTTTTTTTTTTTCTCCTTTTGCTTACACCCCTCGTCGGAACACGCTCTTCTCGTTTCTTGTCTCTACTCTGAAGCTCCCTCACACACCCCGACCCGTGAGAGACTTGAAGGCCAAGGGGACGAAGGAGAAGAACAAAGGAGCAGTTGTAGCAGAACTCCTGCTACATGGCGCCATCTGGTGGCCAGTTGGGGCTGACGTTTGACACTAGTCTAGGCCGCTGCAGCCGCCGGGCCCTCGATTCTCCTGGCTGATGGGGCCATGAAGCATGCAGGCAAAAGATAGGGCCGTTTCCCGACTCAGAACCTCAGGTTGAGGCACCCTTGAGCTGCCAGCTGGTTGCTGCTGGAACGGTTTTAAGGATGACCTAGCCGGCGGCCGGCCCGTTGTGAAGGGAGTGAGCTAATGATGAGACGAACCCAGCGAGACGCTGTCAGTCAAAGGGGCATCCGTTCCCGTCCCGAAATGGCAGACGCGCAGCCCGAGTACACAAGCCCGCCCATACCATATCCGTTGCGAGGCGCTTTGTCCTGCCTGCCCACCCGCTCCGCTTGGAACACGCAGAGACGCATCATTCAGAGCCCCCCGTGTCGACGTGATGGATCTAGCTATCGACGAATTCGGCACCAACGTCCAGAGCCCGTCCTCAGGCTAGGGAAAGGGGTGGACGTATGTGCGAGCCTGACTAGAGGCCGCGCACTGCGAGCCTTCTTGCATCTCCATGCACTCCAGGCGAGCTCACTCCAGGCGAGCTCACCTGCCTGCTAAGGCTAAGCAGCGGGCCAAATTTCGCCTCACAGCCCCAGCATGGGAAATTCCAAGGCATGGCCAATGCCAACGAAGCCGCGGGGGCAGGGAAAATAAGAAAAATATGGGTGGAGGGGCGGTCTGCAAGACAGCAACAGCGGCATGGCGTGCAAGAGTGAGGTAGTAGATGCACGGTGACGGTACTGACTTCCCAACGAGGATAGAGTCGCGAGGATATAATGAGTGCCGTGGAGGGGTGGTGGTAGAGGTGGTCGTGGTGGCCGATCCTAGCCAAGAAGGAGCCGAATAAAAGAGAAGGGAATGCAGGCCTCTCCCGTGTTTATCTTGGCGAGAAGCCCGAGGATGTCGTCTACTGGCCGTTCACTAAGATTTTCCAGCCGGACAGGGGTCAAGCAGCTCCTATGGCCCCCCTGCTCTGGCACCCTCCGGCAAGCCAGACAAGACATGGCTGGGAGCCCGCCGTGCGACAATCACCAAGCCCTTCGCACAGTACAGCCCAGCGCTTCAGCAACAATTAGCCCCAATTCCCCATGCGACACTCGTCGTCGTCACCGGACACGCCGAGGAGACAAATTGAAGGGGGAAAAAGCAAAGAACAACGAAGACGAAAGTGGACATTGACAGAAAGGGCACACAAAAAAAAAGAAAGAACTCGGACAACACGGGCATGCATGGATCAAGGGCGGCCACAACGTGTGCCCTGTGGATGGAGTATGCTTTGCGACCGACTTGGCAGCACAGCAGGATACGACAGCCCAGGCAGATTACAATCTGCTACTCGCTCCTTCTTCGGCGCCGAAACACAATTTTGGCCGCCTTTGCGAGAATCGGGATATTTGGTCGGTGAGGGTGATGCGTGTCGCTTGGCTGTCAGGAGGTAAGAAAAAAAAAGAAAAAAAAAGAAGAAAAAAGAGTGACATACGGGCTGCCGACAGCGGGACCCGGTGCCGGGCCCTGGCTACGACGGCCCAGGGCTACACGCAGCGGCCGTTGGGGACACACAATCTGTGTGGCATGGCATTTCCTCTGTCTCGGGCTGCGGCGGGATCCCATCCGTCCGAGCGTCGCGGGCTCGCAACCCTTGTGGAACGACAACAGCGCGTCGCCGTCGTATTCCCCCATCGACATGCCATCGTAATCCGGCTAGCCTGCCGGCAATTCCGTAAGCAGGCCAATGGCAGCCCTTGGGACAATCGTGTGGCCTCAACGGTTTTCCCGGCTGCTAAAAATAAACAAATCTCCAACAGAGGAAAAGGCTGCCGACTCTCGGATGGTCGGCCCCGGCCTGTGCCCCGACATGTCGCCGCCGCCAGCACAAAGGTGGAGTTGTGCTGCGCAGCAACGGGGGCAGCTGCTCCTCTGGGTAGTGGAAGTGACATGTAGCACCGAACGGGAGCGTGGTCCGTCCCGGTGGGGTGGGGTCAAGAGGCCCCGGGTATTCTGTCTCGCCAGGCCCGCTGGACCGCCTGGAGGCTCTGCTTTGCGGCGGTGTGGTGTGTGCGTGTGTGTGCCTGGCTGTGCTGTGTTGCTGCTTGATGATCTGTGTGGGGGGTGACTCGGGCGACTGATGGCCAGCTACTGTCGTCCGTCTGGAGAGGGCCAAATTATGCGGGAAAGTGCATCGTCCAAATTCCGTCTTTGAGAGTGCCAGGTGCACGCCTGACTGTCGATCATGTGTGTGTGTGTGTGTGTGTGTGTGTATGTGTATGTGGCTATGTGCGGGCGTGCCTGTGTGCATCGTGGTTTATGCTCGCAAAAACACGCCTGTTTGGTTCTGAGCTGGCTTGTCTTTTTTTTTCTTCCTTTTCTTCTGTTTCTCCCGCCATCTGTCGCAAGAGCATCCACGATCTGGGTACGGCCGTTGGAGCCCCGGGCACAATGAAACCCTTAGCGAGGGGGGGGGCATACCAAGGGGAGGGGCGTGCGCCGACTACCATCGTGCTTTTTCCCACTGGCTGGTGGAGACTGGGGGATATCCAGGTAGAGCCAATGGCAGAGTAGATTGGCAGATGGAGGGGGTGGAAGGCCCTGCAATACCCCTAAATACACTCCCCCTCCATGACCAAAGGCAGGGAGGAACCATGATGCAACCACAAGCCCGTTGGGCGGCTTTCGGTTTCCCACAACCTCAACGCACCAGCCTCGGAGGGGGGGTCATTCGCCGCGGCTGAGCTCGAATATGGCCAGCGAGGCGAGGGCTGTTGGTCTTTGCTGCCATGGTATACGCGGCTGGCCCCCAGCTTCAATGCAGAAAACGAGTGCCTTACGTCCGTATGCCGCTTCGGAGCCTTTTGGGTGTGATGAGGCATGCAGGGTCTGCCGAGAGACGGCTGACGGGACACTCCTTGGATGGAAGTGAGCCGGTGGTGGTTCGTGGCCTGGTGAGGCTATCTCTCGTCGAGTGGCAGCATCTATCACGACCCTTGCCCGAGAGCTGCCAGGTTCGGGTCAGGGCGGGCATGGGAACACTCAGCATGGATATTGTCAAAATTGCGCACACGGACAATTAGACTTTTGGATTCCGCATCTTGATGAAGGGGTCGTGGTTTCAGGACCGTAGCCTTGGCCGAGGGGACAGGCCGATGACCGTCATGTCTTCATTCCGCGTGTGATGAGGAGCCGGTCTTGGCACAAATCACCCCAAGGTAACATCGAGCAGCAGCATCGAACAGCATGCCTCGCAGCGCCAGTGCCAAGGCCAGGATTTTGTGGGTTTGAGGATCTTCAGCTTGCCCACTGATTGATCGCCATCGCATGCCGTCCACGCCTGCAGGGAGGGTGTCTGTGGGAGCCAGTTGGGATGAGAGGGCAAGCAGGCACGCAGGGCGCGCCCAAATGAGGTTGCAGCCGTCCGGATAAGGAGACATGGGGTCCAGGCCCGCCTCAGCTGAAAAGCCGCTGGGGATTTTCGCTTGAAATCGCCAGAACCGGTCCCCGAGCCAAGGGGGGTGTCCAGAGGCATGCGAGCTGGGCGCAGATCCCCCCACCACCCACTGGGCGCGAGCCAGTGGGAGCCGCGAGCGTTGTGAAAGTCCAGTGAATCCCCAAGCAAGCAACGCTCGCTGCGGTGCGCTCCCACTAAGTCGATGGTCCCCGAAGGTGGGTCCCCGAGATCGCCGATTAATTATCATGGTGACTAGGGGGTGTGCGTCGTGGTGTCACGTCGTGCTTGTGCTTGTTGGTCGCCCATCCCGGGCCCGATCGACACGACATGTCCGGGTGCCAGAGAGAGCAAGGACGAGGGAGAACCAGAGGGGGGTAGCAGTGCGACGCGACAAGGCTGCGGACGGCGCTCGAGAGAGCCCGCTTCGCTATCCCCAGCCCCGGCCAAGACGGTTCCGAATGGGGCCTTTGACGGCGGTGCAGGCCAATGGCTGCGAAAGGCTCCCCCTCGGCAAAAGGACGTCAGGGACAGGGCCATTTGGTCCGTCGCAGCTCCCTGGGTAAGTAGTCAGCCGGCGATTGCATCCGGCGGAAAACGCCAGTATAGTTCTCGTAGTATGCCACTAGTGCCAGTGGTGCCCTTCGTTCCTGGTCACTGTCCGGAATGCTGGGGCACAAGCCAATAGCGCGTCTTGGTTTGGCGGCCGAGGCGTTTCCTCCTTCTGGCGAGACCGAGAGACTTGTGGGCGGCGACTAGAGCGAGGGGATGTTGCGGATGCTGCACTCTGTGGGGGAAGCGAGTCGCCTTCACCAGTCCAGGTCCAGCAGAGTGGGCTGCCTCTCCTGGAGAGGCTCTCCATTATGGAATGTCTGTGCTGGCAGCCAAAGTGCAGGTGCCCCACAGTTATGTTTTCGGTGGGAGGCTCGGAGGGCAGGAGCGATGACCCATGGCCCATGGTGTCCCGACCTGGAAGGCACGCACGAAATGACTATGATGTGCCTTCCTTCCATTTCCACACAAAGATCGACACATCAACACACACGGCGGTTTGCATGGACCGCACACCTCCTCCGCTGCCAACCTCTGCCCCCGCCACAATAGGTACCCCCCAGAACACTCAGCCTCGGGAAGGTGGCGGTGGTGGTTTGCCGTGCGCTGTGACAACGGCGACAGATTGAAGCAGCATTGGTATACTTACCACCCACGCTCGAGCGACGAATGAGAAGTCAGAAGTCAGCATGCATTTCGAAACAATCTCTCCGCAACCCCGGTCGAGGGAAGGATTACAACGAGGATCGCGTGGCGACAGGGGTTGTTGCAACCCGTCCTGGGTGTTTGGGTTTTATTTAGACACAATTTGATTAAGGACAGGCTTGCGAGAGAGGCAAAGGAAGGGTGGACCAGGCCTGGGTGGCATGGATGGGTAAGGTAGGAGTGTATTTCTGGGGGCCGGGCTGAGAAGGAGAGGTATTATCGAGCGGCAGTCCCACGGCATCTCCGCCTGGTGTTGGTGCCCCAGATGCGAGCCGGCCACTTGGCTTCCGAGTCTCTGGGTCAAGTGCACCACCAGGTTAGGTAGGCAGTCCGCTTGTCGCGTGGCCACGAGGGATGGACGGGAAGCGGCGCCGTTTGTTGTGTTGTTTGCTTGGACTTCTCGTGCTGGACACGGCACACGCACACGCAACACTCCCAACGGGCGACTCGACTAGCTCAGGGCCACCAGCCTAGGCTAGGCTCAGGTAGCGCCAAAAAAGAAAGAAAAAAAAAGAAAAAAAAACGACACGTTTTCTTTGGAGCGTAGTCGTCAAGGTTGGATGCTAGCTCAGCTGCTGGGAGCTGGGAGCTGGGAGCTGAGAGCTGTATCAATATTAGCCACTGTGCTATTGACCTCGACAAGCGAGCCCCCAGCACGCAGCCCCAGCACGCAGCCAGTGTGGCGTCCAGGAGCCCAGGTCTGGTACTGAGCACCCCTGACGCCTGCAAATAGCCGTTCGGAATCCCAAGTGGACGGTAACTCTCGAAGCCACCCGCCGCCGATCATGGGTTGGTTGGGCTGGGGGACCTGGCCTTGTGTTGCGTCAGCGATGGTTTACCGATGGTTTACACAGTATTCGTTTATTTATATCTCCTCCATCAATCTCATCCACATTCAGTTCTCGGCTGCCGCAGCTCTCGATTGGCCAACCCCGAGTGCTGGGCTACCACTTGGTCGGTGCCAGCGCCGTCATCCGTTCCAATAATTTGGTCTTTGCCTGTGCTGATTTTTCGTGGCAAGCCGGTTGGGCTGGCTGGTATTTGCATGTTTCGATGCACGTCGGTTGGAAGCAGCACTCGACGGTGAAACTCAACAAAACAAATCAAGGTTTGCCTGCGACGACCGGTCGGCATGAGCCGGGTAACCCGCCACCCTGCACAATCTCAACGACCAAGTTTTGCAAAAACCGGTTCCGGCCCCTGGTTCCGGGGTGATTTGGAGGATAGGAGAATGGTTGGGTGTGTGAGCGTGGGCTGCGTGCGTGTTGTGTGTGTGTGCACAGTGGGTAAGGATCCAGGAGCCGCAGAATATTGGGCTGCCTCCTGTTTGCACTGCTTGGGGTATCCGTAACCGCAGGATTCACGCGGTCCTGGTCCTCTCCACAATGCGAGCAGAAGAGGGAAATAGAAGCGAAAGGTTCCCTGAGAATACCGGGGTAGAAACAGTGGAAAAACGAAAGAAAGAAAAATCGACATGTGGGCGATGAATGATTGCGTGCGGAAAAGACATGCTTTCGATGTTTCGAAAGGCAGGGGCGATTGTTTGCACAGCCCGTTGATCATTTGCTTGTAACTTTCGCTCTCTACATTTACCGCTTTAGGAAGGGCGGGTGAGAGGAAGGGGGAAAAAAAGCAAGGACGGCACAGCATGAATTTACGGGCTTGGTGTGAGCCGGCCCTGGAGACATCAATCGTGCTGTCAAAAGAGAAAAGAGTGCTATATCGCAGCCGTTCTATGCTCCACCTGCTGACAACGGCGGCTCTCGCTGATGCGATTCGCTCGTCCTCGTTTCTCCCCTCCAAAGCCCCGGCCGGCGATCATACAAGACAAACAACGGCAATCGACACTCCCGCATCCCGCACCGCATCGTCGGTTCGCAAAACGGGCATGCCACGTCAGGCTCGTGCGTTGCATCCAAATCGCGCCCGTTTGCTTTTATGTTTCATTTCTTGTTCGTTGATCCTTTTTTTTTTTTTCTTCCTCTCGCATATTTGGCTCGTGGCACGTCGTTGAAGATACCGACCCGTCGTACCCATAAATGTCTCGGCTTTTCTTGGGAGAGACATATCGTTGACGCCGAGGTCTGAGCATCTTCTCATCAATCATGGCTTTGAGCCACCTCGGCGTAACCCGATCTCGGTCGTTTTATAGAGGTTAGCAGCGTGGCAGCATGGCAAGGTTCCTTCCCCGATATCGGTATTCAACCGGGCCTCTTGGGGTGCACTAGATTAAGATCGCCGCCAGGCATGCCTCGCTCGCGGGGTTCACTCGGCGTAACCAAGCCAGGGCTCTGGGGGGAGACTGAGGCTTGAAGAGGGAGCAAGCTAGCATGGGGAGATGGGATAGGTGCGCCAAGAATCGCCCGTCACCACAAATCCGCTCTCACACAACCCGAGACAAGTCGTAGGAGAATTGATGTGAGCACCCAGGCCCAACGGGCCGAACAGCGATCCGGGCGGGCAAACAGCGATGATCGGATCAGGGCCGGTCGGTCCATGCGCAAGCCACTGGCGAGTGTACGAGGAGAGACGGTCCGGGATCAAGCCTCAGCCGCAGTCGCAGAGCGGAGACGAACTCGCCTGTTGAGAAACTGGAGACGGCCCACCCCTGAAAGGTTCTCGACTGGTCGTCGCTCGAGGAGCACCTTATTCTCGTTAACCTTTGGGACAAGGGCCTGTCAAACGCAAAAGGCGCACAAAGAGGGTTTGCCTTTTTTTTTTNTTTTTTTTTTTTTTTTTTCCCCACCCCTGACGACCCTTTGCTGGCTACAGATGAAGGGTAGCATCGGATACCTGTGTCGGTCATTTTATAACAAAAATAGAAGAGCCTACTATAATACCTCAGTATGCACGCACGGCTGGTGGTGGGGGAATGCCACCTGCGACTGCCACAATCTGCAACGGGGACAATATCCG